GGAGACCAGACATATATGGTGCCTGAGCTAGAACCCAGGTCAGCGCATGCAAAGCAAGGGCCCGCCCTACTCTCTCTCCCGCCCGAACCGTGAGGGCTTTTTCATACCCAAACTGAAACTAAAAATAATATTTAGGATGAAGTTCATTCTTAAACACAATCTCAGTGTAAAATGGTGTGCTCAAGACAGTCCATTTGGATTCCATGCTATCTGTACATTCCCATGGCCTTTAGTGGGGGAGGTTTGCAACTGTCCTTTTCTTGACTACTGCTGGCAAGGCACCCCGGAATCATGGAGTGCATAGCCCAGGCAGAGTCGGAGTTACGTGATCTGATCCGAGCGCTGTGTGTGCTGGTCCAACTGCTAGTTGGCGGCCCTATTCGAGATAGCCTCGAATGATGCATGGCCTAAAAGCGGTACCATTCCCTAGTTTCCGACTGCAGTAGCGTGTTCTCTAGAGGTAAGTGCACAGCCACATGAGCAAAAGTCAGTCAAATTTCAAACATCTGTATTTAGTTCATTATTTTCTTCCTGGAATTTCTTCCCTTGGGACGTGCTTTTTACTCAAGTGTGAACAATTTTCAAAGCAACTTTCACACTCTCTTCGTCAAACACTAACTCAACTTACGGCACTCATCGACAAGCCATGAAATGGCATCAGTGATAAGAAAAGATTTCTTTGGAACCGGAGAGATAACTCAATAGGCCGAGCATGAGCTTGACAAGCAGGAGGCCTGGATCTGATGTCCCGTAACACGCAGTTTTAGTTAAGCATTGCCAGGGGTGACACCTACATACAGTTCCTGAACACCACGGGGTGGGTGCATCCCCCATACAAATAAACAAACAAAAATGGAACAATTTGGAGACTGGAGAGTTAGGACAGGAGTTAAGGAGCTGGCCTCGCATGGTGATTTCAGTTCAGGCCTTGGCATCTCACGGTTCCTTGGGCACTGAGAGCAACCTCCAAGCACAGAGCACGGAGTAGTTCCAACCACTACGAGGAGTGGTCCACAATGGCCCTCCAAAATGAAACAAAATAATAGAAACAACTTACTGCAAATTTTTCTTTTGCTTCATATTTTAAGGTCTTCGTGTTGTGTTTTGCGGGTTTTTTTGTTTTGTTTTGTTTTTTAGTCAAGCCCATACTTAAAAGTGTTTTTAAATCTTAAATTTTCATCATGAAATTAAAGAATAGTAAGGTGTCTGAGCATAAATTATACTGCTGCCGGTGGTAGATTATTCTATTTGATTCATGACTCAATTTACTAGCCATGTTTTGTAAGAGCAGAATAGTAGATGTTTTATGTTTTCTTTGGGGGGGGTGGGATAGCACTGGTGCTTTGAGCTATCTTTCCCCCCACCCAGATGAATCTTTTTTTAAAGAGGCTTAGGAGCACCTTTCAGATGAAAATAGGAATAGCTCTTGTACACAGACCATGAAGTTTCAGCATAATGCTTACACTTAAATGCTTAGAAAAAGTACAATTATTTGTTTCTTTGAAAATATACTACTTCTTGACACGTACTTAAAAGCAACTATAATTATATCTAACCAGAGGCATGACAAGTATACACACAAATTACAAACAACACACACAAACACCCACACATCCATAAGGGGTTGCCTCTAAAAGCCTCTATGTATGTTGTCGTGTGTCGGTAAAGACAACTTTGGGTCTATCTCCTAAATCCTGGGAGACACGCAACATCTCAAATATTCTGTTCAACCACATAAAGACAATCTTGTGTATGCTTTCCAAAATAACAAAATCACAGTGTACGAACTTAGAAAAACTTATTCAAGAAATAGACATCTATCCTTTCATCCCATTTAAAAAAAAAAAGTTTTGTTTTGGAAAGACTATTTTCTGGGGTTCAATTTGCAAGCTAAGAGTTTATAATCTACAAGCCCAGAATAAGCAATTAAAAAGAACTCAGATGTAGATTGTTTTAATTACTTGAATCATTTTTAAAACATAAGGTAACCTGACATTTTAAAGCAATTGCAATTATAGCCTAGAAATGCTAGTATATTTCACATTCTGTCCATAAGAAGTATAATCTTTAAAAAAAAAAGTATATATAAACTACAAGCTCAACATTTCGATGAATTGCTTTTCAGCGCCCCCTAATCAACTGCCCCGGAGGAAGAGTGAAGACACAAACTAAAGCTATTAAATGGAAGATGTTATTTCAGAACTGACTGGGTCTCAAAAGGGGGAAAAAAAAAAGGAGGTTCCCTCTGGCTCCAGATACATCCAGTTAAAAACAGAGTGAGGAGGATGCAAGGAGAGCGCAGGTAATTTTTAAAGGCATTGTCTAGAAACCAGAAATGAGGAGAAAACAACCTCAATGTTCTATGATTACCCAAGAACGGGTTTAGCCAGATGAACAAGTCTGCTACAATCCCTCATCGTCCCCCCCACCCCCAGGCATTTGAAAGACTATCAAACAAACTTTATTAAACTGGATTATATGGTCTCTCACTCATTAAACATCCGAAGGCCACACGTTTATGATCAGGTGAAAAAAAAAGTTGATGCATAGGACGCAAATTAGGCTGAGGTCCTCTTTTTAGTTTGTTTTTACTAGTACAAGCATTGTTAAGACAACCCACTATTAAATTTCTTTGCCAGCAGGTCAAGTTCCAGAATCCCAAGTATAAGCATTCAGAGCACTAAACCCTGACAAGGTTGCAAGGCCATTTAGATATGCTTTGCCTACAATTCCTGCAATAACCAGGTGATTACATCTCTATATACAGCTGCACTCCCCTTTTATTAGGAGACTTTAGCCTCATGAAAAAAACGTGCTTCTCTGTCCTATCTCCCGTTTCAAGGACTTTCAGAGAAGAAAAAACGATCATTCGAAATTGTCTAAGTTATTTACACTTCCCTTCAATCAATGCAGATAAAAAAACAAACAATTTCAAAGCATCCTTGACATAATGTTCTGTAGAGGGGTATTTTAAATTCAGTGCTTCTGTAGGGAGTGTTTACTTGGCCTTGCTATTTTATCTAGGAAAATTTAGATTGTTTTATCCTATTTTTAAAAGTTCCCAGCACAGCCCTATATACGCTGAATCCTTCCTTGCACATAATTCTTCTGATTCCAAAATCTTGATGAAGATATCAATTAAGGTTATTGATAAATACATCTTTTGTTTAAAATTAATTTCTCAAAAAGCCCTGAAATCTACCACATGTCATCAGGTAACAACTTAGATTTAATAAGTTGTTCTCAGTACTAGGATATACCAAGCAATGCTTCCACCCATGCGTACAAAATGTCTGCAATCATATTCCTCTCAGTGTTCTAGTTCAGCACTGACCTTTGTTCAAAGGCTTTTACTTTTTAATGCAGCAATTAGAGATAACTACTTCACTTATCAAAACTCTATTTCCATAGTAACATCTAGCCCGGGGAGATTCAAGTCCTTACACTAATCCAACAACCCATTCAAAGATCCGTTTGAATACTTTGGTTTCCATAGAAATGACGGAATAAAACATTTTGCTAGGTTATTGCTTTTATTAGCAAACTTATTCCTTGAACTTTAGGTAAAGCTACATTTACGCAGGGCAAAATAACAATTGCTTTATGTAAGTTCTTTCAGGGCTGCTAAGGAAAAAAATCACAAATAGCGACTATCTTAACATTTGAAAACATTTGGAGTATTGGGAAAATTTTAAAGCAAGCCATGTTAGTTTGGTCCTAAAATGAATTCTGATACTTTCTTTAAGATTCTTAAAATGTACTAGTAGAGATCTAATAAATACTAAAAATGGGTTAAATTTAGGAGCACATGTTTTTCCGGGAGAAGGGGATTTGAGTCACAATAGGTGACACGCAGGGCTTACGCCTGGCTCAGTTGGCTCAGGGATCATTCCCTGTAGTGCTGAGGACTACTGTAAGGTTGGCTGCATGCAGGAAAGCACTTCAACTAAGCCCTACACTATTCTCTCCAGCCATTAGCACTTTTTAAATAAAGATCAAACAACTAGAATCAAATCACCCATCAAATCAGGGCCCAGGAAGGGTGCTGCTGAAGTTTGTAGGGTTTTTTGGACCACACCCTGCATGCTGTGTCCCCGGCTATTCCCAGTGTGGTGCTCAGGGAATCACTGGCCTGGGTCTGAACCCGTAGCTCCTGCGAGTACACTGACGACCTTAGTATCATCTCTCTGGTCCCAATCTTCCTGGTCCCCTCAGACTAACTTTTCTGGTAGGCTGCACCCGGTAGCGCTCAAGCCTTACTCGGGGCTCTGCGCTCAGTCATCACCACTTGGGGGACCAAAATGGGGTACCCAGATGGATCCGGGTTAGCCGTAGAGTTAACTTTTAAACCATAACTCTGCCTTTGCTTTTTATACTTTGTGATTTCTGTGTTTGCATTAAACACAGAAATGTGGAGCTAAAGGCAAAACTGAAGATACTATGTGTTACACAGTCACACTTCTCATGCTGAGTGCAAGTTTTAGTATTTGATACAGCTCTATGAAAGCCAATGGATTACTTCTTGATGGAGAAAATGTTACCCATTTTTTTTTCTCCCCTTTTACCATAGGAATATCAAAATGTTTATATACAGGCAGGGTCACAGGGAGAGCGCTCCAAGGGCTGAGCTCCTGACTTGCATGAAGGAGGCCTAGGTTCAATCCCAGAACCACATAGTCCGTGATCACCTCCTGGTGTAGCTTAAATTAATGTTTTTTAAATCCCATTAGTAAACATCTTTTTTTTTTTTTTTGCATTGAGTACTTCTCTATGAGATTATATGGTAAAGCCTAGGCCTTGGTGAAGAATACTAGCTTTCCTGGAACGAAATTTATTCACTGAACTGAATTTTGAGCCAAGCCAGTGCTGAAAAGGTAGGCCACTAAAAAAATAAAAGTTGACAGAATAAAGAAGAGATCAAATACGTGTTGGCTTTTAAAAGGATGAATACCACTCACACTATTTACACAACTCACAGAATTAACAAGAAAATTACATACCAGTATGAGTCCTCAGGTGAGCTTTTAAATGAGAAGACTTTGTATAAACTTTTGTGCAGCCTGAAATAAAAGAGGAGAGGAAGAACAGCTTGTCATTTTGGAGATCCTTTTGAAATCTTTACATTTGATGATTCAGTGTTTAAAATCTGTCTTTAAAGAAGAAATCTCTCATACTAGAGATATCTGAAGCTTCAGTTTTAAAAGTTTTACAGAGAGCTCCCTTATTACAGATATAAAGTGATTTACTTTATATTACACTTTAGTAGGAAAGAATTAAAACAATCAAGCCAACCTATAAAGTTTTTTAAAATGTGCTCATATTCCAGTGGGTATTTTGTACGAGTAATATACTTTAGTAACTTAAAAAAAAATGGTTCAAAAGCTGACAATGTGAAACCACGATCTAAAAGACCAGCTCTCTATACGCCTACATTTGCTTTTCATTTAGCGCATCATAATATGTACCAAAGTTCAATAAGACTATCCAGTATTGATCATAAGCTAGCATATGTGGGTAACCTGATGTACTACCATCAGCAATTTGACCCTCAAATGTTATCTACCATCAGAATAGCAGCCCACTGATCCCCACTTCATGATAAGGCCAACTTCTCTTCCCGTATTTAATCTTCGTCAAATTTTGGTCACTATGTCAAAATAATTCTGACATAACTAGAAATTTAAATAATTATGTACCGTGGTATGGCCTAGAGATCAGAATATATATTAAAAAAGGGGGGGGGCAGTTTGGGTCACACCCGGCAGTGAGCAGGGCTTACTCCTGGCTCCATGCTCAGGGATCACTCCTAGAGGGCTCAGGGTATCATATGGCGTACGGGGATCAAACACAAGCCGGCCGTGTGCAAGGGAAATGCCTTAGGAGCTTCACTATCACTCCGGCCCCCTGAAAATAAAAACTGATTGCCAGAAATTACTACATTTATGTGAAATTTTAAACCCTGAGGTTTAAAGGCCTATCCTATCCAAAACACCAAACACCTGAAAGCTCCACTATGCTCAGATCACTCACCAGGATAATCACAGTAGTGGATGCGTCTTTTCTCCAGATCGGGGTTACTCCTTCTGTTGTATCTGACAGGCTGGATGTTTTGTGAACTGACTGGCAGGGTGGCAGGCAAATTTGGATTATGAATTGCCAGTTTAGAAGCAATTGTAGCAGCGTAGGATGGAGGTGGGGTTAAATTCTGGAGCATTTCTGCTTGTCTATCTGGACTTCCAGGCTCTGAGCTGGGTGGTGAGGGGGGAAAGTAAGTGGCCTGTTGTGGCAGAAACTGACTTGGCATTGTGTATGTGCACGGGGGCAAGCCCTGGAACTGTTTCATTGCAGTCTGCGGTACAGCAGAGGTGTGTGTGTTAAGGCCTGCCATGGTGGCTGACATAGATACGTTAAGAGTGTCCATTACTGCTTGGTTGGTGGAACTGGGCATATCTAGATCCGGTGTATTCAGTAGCTGGTACAGGTGGCCCTGCTGGGGAGGGACTGAAAGATGAAGATCTGGTGTAGGAAGTTCTTGTTTGATGAAAATATTGTTCACCTCTGGAGCTGCGGTCTGGTGGGAGCTGAATATACTGGTGAACTCAGGGAGGGCCTGGGTCGGGGCTGGAGGAGGGGCAGTCGTCTCACTCTGGTGGCTGAAAATGGTAACAGGTTCTGTCTTGATGTGTGTTACGCACGGTCTCTGGGTTTTGTAGAGGCCAGTTCTCAGGTGAGTGATGTCGGGGAGGAAGACGTTCATGTTGATACTGTACGGTAGCCCTTCACTGTCAGTGAAGAACTGGTCTACGACTGAGGCACTGTCACGTCTATACTTTTTATGCTCTGGAATTATAGAAACTGGAGGAAGCTGAGGTGTCAGATATTTCTCCATTTCACATCTTGTCTAAAAAAGAAGAGACACGAACATGCATAATTCACTTACTTTGTTTTAGAAAGGCCAAGCCAAGCAAGTGCTTACTAAAAATCCCCACCAGTACTCAGGCAAACGCTGGAGTGTGGCTTATTTGTTCAGGTTCCTCTATGGTGTAACAACTGGTTTATGAAAACCTTACAAACGCATGAAAACCTTATAACATGTGTAGGGTTATACGCCACAATCGGAGAGGCTAATCAGGAAAACAAGAGGCAAACCGAAAACATGCAACTTCTTCATGCAATAACTATGCATATTTATTATCACTTAAAAACTGAAAGTCCCTGCCCCATAACAATTACATTTGTAGTTCAGAGTATTATAATACACACAGTGCAAGCTATCTTGATTCTCGTTCATGTCGTAAATAAAATATGCTATATTAAAAAAAAGGGAGGGGTGGACAAACCTTAAAAGCAATGCCACAAAATTATTTTCTGTCGATAGTGGTTGGGTCAAAATATCTAATAGAAAGCAGACTGAGGCTATTTCAGGGTCTTTTCTTGTTTTCTGCTCAACGGAAACTTAAATACGCTCTGAACAAAACACAGTGCCCACCGAGAGAACCAAACTCCGCATTCAACATTTGCTCTAAATGTTGATTTTAATCAGCAGATTCCGTAATTGGTTAATATGATAATGAAACGTTCCTATTCATATCCCTATCTGAGACAGATCTTTAATTACCTAAGGGAAAATCACTCCCTTGGTAGAGTGGTGTTAAGGGGCCGTGGGTGGGAGAGGCAGTGGATCACCAACACAGTCACCAGCAAAACATTTATCACGTTGTCCTCCGTCAGCCAATGCTACATTCCCCCTGACCCTGTAAAAAGCTCAGTCATCTCTCATCCTCTGAAATAACCAGCCCCGTTTTCAAATGATTGAAATGGGGTGGGGTGGGGTGGGGTGGGGGGGTGGGGAGGGGCGGCTTGGACACACTCCAGCCAGTTATCCCGCGGCAATCTTTTTTTTTTTTTAACCTCGCCGCCCCCCCTTAGTGTCACATAAGCAGTTTTTCCAACACCGCGAAGGGAAATTTCCAAAGAAAGAAAAATAAAACAACTTGATGGCCCTTCCGAGGGGCGAAATAAACGCAGCCCCACTCGCAAGTGACTTCCAAAAGCGGTTCATTTGGGGACCCGGTATCATCCGACAGAGATGCCCGCGGGATTTCCCGGACGGGCGCGATTTAAAAATAAAAATTAAAGCTCTGGCCATGTGAGTCACGGATCTGATGCATGTCCCTGTCCTTTCGCAGCACGGCGACACGCGCAGGACAACCCCCCCCACCCCACCCCACTCCCCCACCCCGCCGCCCGCCGCAGGAGCGCAAAGGCACTGCAACACCCAACGGGCTGCTCGGGGAGGGGGGAAAAGCGTCCTCAAAGTCTCGAAATAAACCCAACTTAAACCCTTTCGTGCACTCCCGCTCCCGCGGTGGTTAGTGGTTTCTGCTTTTAGCTCTTCCAGCTGTTTGCATGTGGGTATGTTTCCAATTTTTTTTTCCTCTGTCTCTCTCTCTCTTCCCTGGGACAGGCTAAAAAGTCCCGGCAAGTTTTGTTCTTTTTTTTTTAGGTTGTTGTTGTTGTGTGCGTGTGTGTGTGTGTGTGTGTTTCTGGGGCTCTAAGATTCCCTGCGTGGGCGAAAGAAACAGGCGGTTGCTCTAATTCGGCTGCCGGGCAAGTGCAGAGCCAACTGCCAGCTCTCGATGCGGGGAGGAAACGGACGCGCGCACCAAGAAAAACAACACCCCAAGTTATTTTTTGGGTGTGTGCGCGCCTCTTTTTTTCTTTTTTAATCAATATATTTTTTTCTTTGAAGGGAAAAAACTAGGTGCTCCCACCCACTCTGGCGCGAGTCTCTCCTAGCTCGCATCAGAAGCTGGTCTCGCTCCTGGCGCATGAAACCAACCAGCACCCCGGGGCGGGCGGGGGACCCTCCCCGTGCGGCGCCCCGACCGTGCGCCCGCGCCTAGGTCTGGGGGGGGAAGCGAAGGGGGTCCGGAGGGACCCCCAAGGCCACGGCTACAGGTTGCGGGGCGGGGACGGGGGCAGGAGGAGGGACTCGAGAAAGTCCAGCTGCGCCGGGCTCAGGCGGGAGGTCCCGCGCCCTCCCCGCGACAGCCGGGAAGGCACACCCCACTGCAAGGTGCGCGCTCCCTCCTGAACCTCCCCGGGGCCGGACGCACCTGGGACCGCGCCCCCCGGCCGCGCTCCCTCCGTCCCCTCCCCGGGGGGTGGGGTGGGGGGGAAAGGGACCCGCACGGCTGCCCCGCTCCGGCTCCCGGGACGCCCCGTGGCCGCGGCCCGAGCCTGGAGCGGCCCCTGTCGCCCGCGCGTCGCAGCGGCGGGGACACGCCCGAGCCCGGGAGCAGGAGGAGGAGGAGGAGGAGGAGCGGGAGGAGGAGGAGGGCGGCGGCGGCGGCCGTGCCTACCTGGACCAGCTCCTCGGCCGGCAGCCGGGGGCCCGCGGCGGGCGGCGGCGGCGCGGGCTGCGGGGCGGCGGGTGGCGGGTGGTGGTGCTGGTGGTGCCCCTGCGGCGGCGGCGGCGGCGGCGGGTGCTTGAGCTCGTCCCCCGCGAAGAGCGCCGCGTCGCGGGCCGGGGTCGCGGCGCCCAGCACGGGCTTGAGCTGCGCGAACACGGGCTCGTCCTGCGCGGCCGGCAGCGGGGCCACGGGGCCCAGGCGGGCGCTCATGGTCAGCACCCGCGTCGCCATGGGCACGCTCCGGGCGGGAGGGGCGCGGGCGGCGGGCGGCGGGCGGGTGGGCGCGGGCGGCGGGCGGCACGCGTGGCCCACGCGCGGGCGGGCGAGTCCCGGGGCGCGGACCCCCTGCCAGCCGCGGGCGCGGAGGGGAAACTCTTCCGCGCCGCCACGCGCGAACGCCGACGTCCTCCCGGCGGCCACTTTCTCCCGCCCCGCCCCGGCGAGCGCCTTTTTTTTTCCTCTTCGCTTTTCCTCTCCGGGTCCTCGGAGCCCGCTCCTGCCGCCTCCGGTCTCCGCGAGCCGAGTGCGAGCGCGCGTACCTGCCCCGCGACTGCTGACACTCGGCGCCCGCCTCTATTTGACCCGACTCCCGGCGGGCGGGGCCGGCCCGCCAGACTGACGGCGGACGGGCCAATGGTGGGGCCCCGAGGCGGGGCCGGCCGGGACGATCAGCCTATGAGCGCGGAGGAGGCCGCCGGGAGCCCCGCCCCCTCCGGGCCGACCGCACCCCTCGCCGGGGCCACGAGCTGCGCGCGCGGGGCGGCCGCGCAGTTTGTACACAAGTTCCCTGACAGATTGGGCCGGCGGAGCCGGGGGCGGGGGGACGGAGCAGAGAGGGTGGACGGAAGAGAGGGAATCGGGGTGGAGACGTGGAGGGGGAGGTCTGCCGAGCGCTCCCCGCCAGGATTAGGGGGAGAGAGAAAGAAAAAAAAAATAAAAGGAGCATTTGCACGTCTTAGGTGTTGTGCAAGGGACCCGAAACTCCCCAGCTGAAATCCAGGCGGCGGCTCGCTGGGGGCGCTCAGGTTTTGCAGGACCTGCTTAAGGCGTGTGTATTTTTAAATGCACCGAATGTACTTTTCTCTTAGCGGAAGGCTAGGGGCGGTGTGATAAACAAATTGAAAAGCAGCTCCGGTCTCCGGCGTATCCTTAGCAGCGGAGCTCGCCCTGCAGCAGAGCGAATTTCGGACAGCCCGGAGTGGTTTGGTCCCATGCGAAAGAGTGTGTGTTTTTAAGTCCCGGCAGAAAACCTTGTGGTCCGCACCCCCCCCTCCCCACCCACCCCTGACCCCACCCTGCTACCCAACACACACCGCATTTCAGTGATCAGAAGTTGTTTCCACGCGTGTTTCTACCTCGTCTCCGTGAATGGTGGGGGGCGGGAAGGGGGCGGGGGCGAGGAGGGGCCGAGGGAAGTTGGAGGGTTTGTTTTTTGGTTATTTTTGTTGTTGTTGTTTCTTTTTTTTTTTTCTTCTTTTCATTTGCAAAGTGTTCGTTTCAGCCAAAGCTAGGCATCTAATTTAAGCACCATCAAGTGTTTTTAGGTAGAGTTTTTCAGCTTTGGGCTATTTTGGGGGCTGGAACTGGATGTTCAAAAAAGAAAGAAAAATGAGAGTTCGACAGTTGGCAAACAGAAACGCAGCCCATTTTTACCTTGACACCGTGGTGGCACCTTTTCCTGCGAAGAGACAGCCTCAGGAGTCCCCAAACTTGAGACACGCCGGAGCTCCGGACTGTGGAAATCCTAATTTGGTGGAAAGTAAGAGTCGAATACAGCACCGTCCATTTGCTACCTTCTCATGGGAAGGAGAATTTTTGCCAGCAATCACCTAAGGAAAAACCACTTCCTTTAATCCTTAATGTTCTTGTACATGATTTTATCTGCCCTACTGAGAAGCCGGAACAACAACCTGCAATAAAAATGCCTGGAATATTATTACATATGTATGTATGTTGATGGCACACTGTAACCATTAGACAGTTCTGCATTTGCCACAGAATAAGCTCATCAATTCACAGTGAAACAGCTTTTTAAAGAGTTTTTAGAAAAATGCTCCCTTCAAAGCCTGGACGTAGGTCCGATGACATGCAAAGCTCTCCTTTCGGTGTTCAGATTTTTAAAGATTAATATTCACATAGAAATGAGAGGTGTTTATACCTAGCCTAATTATGTTCTGAAGTAGATGTTTTTCTCCCTTTTTATCCTCTTCCTGATTCATGCTTCTTTTTTTATAGCTGCGATAACTTTCAGACAATGGTTGATCACAGCTTTCATGTTGTCAAAATATTATTTCATAAGAATTTTTGTAAATTTTTTCTCAGTAATTCCAGTCATCCTTGAAAAGATGCCTTATGTTTAGCTAATTGCAGTTTAAAAATTTTTATCTTAAAACTGTCCTGACTTTCTCAAATAAATCAGTAACTGAGAGAAGATCAGTTTTATGGGACAGAATATAGTTAAATATGAGATTTAAGGGAACTTGAAAAAGTTTGTAAGGTCTTTTGTTAAGGTTGGTATTATAACCAAAGTATGATAAAAGATAATTCATACTTTATATTAACTTTTATTTTAAATCTAACTTAGACTTACTGCCACTCAGATATATTTTAATCTGCTTTAAGCGTAGCTAGACCTTTCCTTTTTTTCTTTTTAACCAGGTTCAGTGGCCTCTTATTTCAACCTAAATTTTCACAGCAATAAATTCCAATTCATTTGCTAGAAAAGGTTTTCTATTTCACACCATTGTAACCTGCTTTCACTTCCAAAAACTTTATTAATTTGCAAAAGAACCCCAGCTACCCGATCATTTTTAATATTTTAACATTTTGATAATCCCGTTTACTGGTTTTCTTCTTTGTTTTTCTTTTTCACATTCCCCCTATGGGGATGAATCTGTCTATGGTTGGGCTTGCAGCACATTTGCACTAAAAACCTGAATACAATCTTTCTTTTCCACCCTCACCTACAGTAGTGATGATTTAAATTTCATTTCTGACACAAGGATTCATGAAATAGGAATACCACTTTGAAGTCTAGTTTCTCTGAAATGCCCAGCTCTGCAATCTCACAGAAAATAACTAGTTCAGCACGGCACAATGGTACGGAAATTGGAAAGTAATCCTTTTCTGAGACATTTGCCATGCAGTTCTGAACACATAAAGAACATATTCAGCCGAGCTTGCTGTTTGCACAAACGCTACCCCTGCAAGCCTGCTTCATCCCCTTAGCCAAAAAGGGTTAAAAACTTGATAAATAGTTTTCAAATGTTCCAGGTTCTTCTCTGGCCTGACGCCAGCCAGTGTGAATGGACAGATCCTCAATTACTTTGAACTTTCTAGTTCTTTGCATTCCTTCCTGCTTAGTAGTGCTGTACCATTAGGGAAGATAGGAGAAAACAAGAAAACAAATGTCAGGTTTCAAAAATCAATTAGTGGCCTGGCGGTGGTGCGTTAACTGAACTGTGCCAAAACAGAGAATGGAGAAGGAAAGGAGGAAAAAGTTGGGTAGTCAAGTGAGGTAGGAGGGTAAGCGTAGCAGCCGGGCGCATGCTTAAGTCCTTAGTCACTGGGCACCAGAGATTTAGTCTTAGAATAAACCCTAAGTGTCACTATCTTTACGGGAATAAATACGTCTGGATGTGTGGGGGCCGAAGAGGCATGCAACCGTGGGGAGGCGGGGTGGAAGGAGGCAGTGGAAAAAAGTGGATAAATAGCTCATGAGTGATGAGATGAGAGAAATATGAAGCCATCACTAGGGCAATGTTTGCAGGAAGATACCGCACAAGAAATCTCTGTATTCAGTTGTTTGGCAGAAACATCAGGGAGAGCTTGGACGGAAGGGATCCAGTGTTTTATTCCCTCTGATTGGAAGAATATTCCATTTCTGTCCAATCAGAATCAAATTACAGAGTGACATTGGACCCCAGGAGAAGCACGGAGCTGAGTAAAAATCATGTGTGAGAGTCCACCTGGTAAGATTATTTCCTGAAAAGGGACTCTTACTTTTCAGTCCTGGTTCACCTAGTGTCAAACTCTGTTTTGATTGAAATATAGGACAATGAACAATGTTTGTTCTCTACAATGCCCCACATTTCTAATAACTGTTTTCAGCCACGTTTTAAAAAGAAAGTCATTGAGAAAGGAGCATCATACGCTAACTGCAGCTTTAACTGAGATTAGTTGAATTGAATGAGATGTAAGAAAAGAGACATTCGTTTCTTTTGAGGTAAAAAAAAAAAGCAGGCAATCATGTAGGATTTTCTTGTGATAAATTGAAATGACATCTCAAGACAAAAACTTCATCTTCCATTTTTTAGTTTCTCCCACCCCAGTTCTTAAGAAATTAAATTTTAGATTTAATTTGGAATTTCAACGTGTTCTTCCTGAAATAGATCTCCAAATACGCATTTGCTCCTACCTACACTATAAGTTATCTAATCAATTTGTCAAAGTCCAGTAATATACACACAAACAAAAAGTAGTACCTTACCTCTGACGACAGGACGGGGTTTGCTTTTTTCCGCCTACTTGATTAAGAAGCTGTCAAAATTGACATCAATCTAAATACCCTGAACCAAGCTATAGGCCAGGCATAATATAACTTAAACTTTACGGTATTTGAACTCTGACTCTAAACATGATAGAAAAGGTTAGGAGAAAAATCCTGAACTGAAGCAGTTACACCAAACAATCTTTTAGAATATTAAGGGATGCCTCATCACCAGCATCACAATGAGCAGTGGTTTGAGCCAATTGCTGTTCATGTGATGACAAAAGCCCTAATGGCACTGGGCTGAGGGCCCATGCTGTGGACGCCCAGATGAACTGGGCACAAATCACTAGGGGACTCCCCCGGTGGAGGTTGGTTTATAAATGAAATGTTTCAAAATAGTATGAAGACCAATGCCAGCGCTTCATGCCTTCGCCTCTGAATGTGGATGATTGTGTAAACTTGTACAACTTTTGAGGAAGCCAGTTTCACAACATCCATGAAGGAGGCTAAGATGTAAAGAATATTAAAAATAAATAAATAATCCTCCTTCTGTATTACATGCTATTATGAGAGAGAGTGAGAGACAGAGACAGAGAGAGATAGAGAGAGAGAGAGAGAGAGACTGGCAAGGAAACAGATGTCTAGTCATAGGAAGGCATTTAGCTAATACATCTGTTCAATGGCTTTTATTCTGCCACCAAAAATAATATTTAAAGGTTCCTTGTAGGGTTGGAGTGAGGAGAGGAGTTAGGCGAATGACTGAT